CTAACGTGCTGGTTCCCTTCTCGACAGTGTGGTTTGCCGGGATGTCGAAAGTGAGCGGCAGCTCGCGCATGTTAATGATGTGGTTGGGCTGGATGTGTTTGTCAGACATTTTTTTTTTTTGTTGTATTTCAAAATGCTAAGTATGCTTGTCCCCCATCACTTGCCGAATCCCAAGCGGTTAAGCTCGTAACGTGGAGATTGTTTGAAGAACAGTCGGAAATGCAAGCCTAGTGAGGCCGGCAGAGCGGCTGAGTAAAGGTTTAAAATCTCCAAGAAAGCATGTTTTATTTAATGTGACACAGAACATTACGCTTTTTACTGCAGTCGGAGCGGAAGATGACAAGCCTTTCCTTGTCATCCACCGGATATTGCTCCGCGACGGTCGTCCTTGGCGGGATGGATCGATGGCGCCGTTTCATAAAACAAAAGCATAGATTAGTTGATCTTGAATTCTCTCGCGACTGCTCTATTCCCATGGTCCTCTGCGTAACCGATTGCTTGCAGTTTAAACTGTGTTTCGTAAGAGTGTCTCTTCGTAGGTGCCATTTACGGGATGTTTGTTGCACAATGCTTGTACGGGCACCTACTGGGGGCGTGCCTTTAGCGTCCTCTTTCACGTCCACCCTTCCCACTTTAACGTCCGCATGCTGCCCTCAGTTACATCCGCCTTTCCTCTATATAAGCAACGTGTCGGCACAACATCAGTCAGTCAGTCAAGCAGACCTCTCATCGAAGTCACACAACCGCATTCACATATTTTGGTACTCTGTGCATACACAAGGTGACCCACATTATTAGGCGCCATACCCATTTTGGAGAAATTTTAAAACTATGTGCGTCTTATGGTCGGGAAAATACAGTACACTTTATTACATACAATACTGAAAATTGTACTTAAATATGCTTGGATTTTATGGCTTTAATATCCATGAAAAAGCATTTGACCCCTTCCTCTTTTCAGATGTTTGGGATTTAATCTCACCAAGACAACCTACGTTAATCCAAATATAGAAATAGAATTACATTTCATATTTATTTGGATTGTTGTGAGATTTTAAAATTGTTTAATGAGCTGAAATCAGAATAGGGGTAAGTACTTGTTTACATGGGCCATTAATTAAAAATGCTTCTCTGTGAGTATCTGTCTTCAGGGGCAACACCACATAAAGTAAAGACTGTTTTGTAGGGTCCCCGTCTATTTCAGTGCCAGATTTTTTTTTTCTCTCTACAAATTAAATCAAAACTATGGAGCACATTCACATTTTAATAGGACAGCTTTAAAATCATGCCCACGGCATGCAATCATGAGAATGCAGCCATTGGCAAAGCTACCTTGGATCTACTCTCATGTCTCAGACCACATTTCTGTTAGGCCGAGCCTTCATCCTAACGTGCTACGTTTTGTTCCGTTCAGTGTATGGTCTGGTACAGTACTTGTACAGTTGTGAGCAAACATTTTGGCAGTAAAAAAAAAACATTAGGCTCCAACCCCTGCTGCAAATAGTGAAAATCTATGCGTGTAATTGATGCCCCACTAAAAAGGTTTATAACTGCCTATAGGTAAAACAAAGCACTACTTTTGCCTAAATGAAACTCAAACCACTTCAACATAGTTCCTTGGCACAGCAGTACTTTTGGTGTGTTCCAATTAATGTTACGTTGTACTAACTTGTTTCTGTTTTCATGTGTGTTAATTACACTGATTCTATACAGTTGTAAGAAGAAATTATGACCACACTTAGATAAAAAACTAGAGTCTTCGTTTCTTTGCATTTTTGCACAGGCAAATAACCTGCAATCGAAAAGATTCTCTTTTACACAGAGTTGCAAAAACACCAAAGATAATGTTATCAATGTACACTCACTGGAAAAGCCGCATCAAGCTCATTGGTCTTGAGTGGCAGCCTTGTGTTCCTGCCATTTACGAAAGAACGGGACTTACCAAGTTTTCTGTTTTAGAAGATGCATTTTCAGTGTATATGAGGGAAGATAACGCCATCACAAGTCTTGAAATGTTTGTTTTTTTATGAAGAGTGTCGCGTACTGCCTATTCCAAAGTAGATGTTATATTCTAGAATGTTCCAATAGAACTGAAGGGAGTTACTGTGCTTTCTGTCAATTACTACCAATTGGCTTTACATGAGTAGCATCTGAGTGACAAAGCAGACCCAGGCGAACACCAACAGTAGCACTAATGCACTGAGCTCAAGCTTCTGTCATCACCACTGTGCCTTATCTTTCCTGACCTGTGTGAACAATTTTGTCCGATGTTTAACCTTAATTATCTATCATGCTGTGTGTTGATGTGGCAGCATGAGGGCTTTTAACTCATTAAACGGGTGCTAAAAATCAGTTTGATGTGATTATTGTGGTCTTCATTTTTTTCTTTCATTGATTCATGTCAGGCATGCCAAGAACTACGGAGGGGTGGCCCTGCCATTGTCGAGTACAAATATATTCCTTCTATTAATTCAACTACTGAAGTTGTTGTGAAATGTATGTTAATGTTCAATTGAGTGATGGTAGAAAACATTTGATTTTATTAACCCCCGCCCGGGTTTAAAATAATTTTAATGCAGTTTCTGAAAGTATTTTGAAAAATGTTAAGTGTGTAATAAGTCATTAAACACGTCAAGGTTTCACAAGTTTCCTACTGCTCTGAAAAAAAAAATACACCCAGACACAAGATACAAAGTACTTCATTTTACATGGTTCTCAAAACTGAAAAGTTCAAAACACAAAATAAAGTAGGCAAAATTACAAAACTTTTTGTTTACATATGGAGTAAGTATAAAGTTACAATGTCAACGTTTTTTTTTACAAGCATGCTCATAATATTCATTTCCAATGAGTAATACATTTTATCGAGAATAAAACCCAAATTTAACTCTCTCTTTCTCACATACATACATATCTGCGTTCACTTTGTCCCAAACAATTTGCAAAAAAAATAAAAAATACATAGGTAGCTTTGTTTGGTGCTATCCAAGTGTGCTGTGATGTTTTTTTTTTTTTATTCAGTTCAGCAATTAAATCAGATTTGTCAAATTAACAAAATATACCTAAAACTAAATATGAATTTGATATTATTTTCTTTAAATATTCATGAATTCAAATTGCCTCTAGCAGAATTAATGACAAAGGCACAAGATTTACAAAATACTCAATCTTTGGTAGCTATTTCCTATTTACCCACCTCATGACGAGTGACAGTAAAAAATATATATAAATATAATGTAGAGTAATACAACTATTCCGTTTTGGCGTCGTCCTGTGGCAGGTTCTGAGGCGTGGATCCATGAAGCACCAGCAGCCCACACAGCGTTAGAGAGATGCCCACCCACCACAGAACTGATTGAGTCTCTCCAAAAATAAGCCTCCCCAGTATGGCCTAAATGCGCAGACAAATAAGAGGGAAATGAGAATGTATTGTCATTCACTGACTGTTTTACTTACATCAAATTTTGAGGTATTTAAGTCAACAAAGTTATATCCAATCTGCAGGAGGATCCCAAAAAGGATGAGACAGTACCAAAAATTCTGATGATTCTGAATTACTAATTAATCAGTTAATATAATTAATTATTTCGTTAAAATTCCGAATACTCAACTCGTGATTTCATACACTTTGTTATGGTGCCTCTTTTTTATAATTCGGTCCACACTTAAAAGCAAAAACAACTGTGAAGCCTCATGGTCTCCGGTTCATTTCTATTCTTGAAAACTGATTCCAGGACAAGCTACTGTTTTGAGTTTGACTTCTTCAAAATGTTATGACATCCTTAATTCTTAACATCCATCCATCCATTTACCGAACCGTTTAATATTGACATTTTTTAAAAAGACACTTTTGTTCCTTTTCTCCGAAGCTATTTTCAGTGACAGTAGTTTTGCTGATTAAACAAAGAATTTTTGTACTTATATACTGTAGTCAAGAATGATTGGGACGGCTTACCGACGAGATAAAGTTGCCCCCAGTAGTGGTGGCAGTGGCCCTGGCAGAAGAAGAGCTGTAGCGAAGAGCTTTGGAGAAAAAGGTCCACATGACAGCGTTGCAGAGGAACATCAGGACGACACACAGCAGCCGCAGGGGGATGTCTAGCTGCAAAGATGATTATTCCATATATGGGACGTTGCCGCGGCAACAACGAAAGTGAAACTACGAGGCCATCACCAGGAAGCATTTGCAAACTTTTAGTCCCCAAGACAGTTTTGCTTACTCCTGCTGTCTCATCACTCTGACGGGTGCAGTTTACAAAAGACGGTACAGCACAACACATATTCAAGGACGTGCTCAAAGTTCGTCTTACCCAGAGGCAGACGGTAGTTTCGTCGTTATCGTGTTTCGCATCGGACGTGCTGCTTAGTCCAGCTTCACACATTTCCTTCAGGTAGTCTGCACCGAGAGTTAATTTAGCCGATAAGGAGGCGGTAGCACCCAAACAACCAGCCAATAATGCGTAAATAGAACCCGAAATCATGCCTAAAGCAGGTGGAGCGCTTTATTACAGTTACCTTGTTTCGTTTAAGTGACAGAAAATGTGTCAAGTTAAAATACATTTTGTATACACCAGTAGTTGTTTCTTTTCGATGCAAAAGCGATTTTTATAAGTAAATTTAATACAATAAACAGTCAAAGGTTTTGTTTGGAGTTTAAGAGAATACTGGTACACTTTATATGTCGAAATGTAGTTTTGAATAATGGGTTAAAATTATTTCCGGCAAATGTTGACATTATAGAAAATTAATTTGAAGGAAATTTACGACATCCGCGTTACGTCCTCGCGAACCTTTGTTCGAGCCCGTAACCTCACTTCTACCAATCGCAGTAGCTTCCCAGGGTCATGTGACTTAGGCGCATTTTACTGACGGTGTGTTTTGCTTCCGGTGAAAGCTGTTCGTTGAAACGATTCTGCTGATTTTCTTGACTTATTCGTGTCTGGTTGCACCGTGATGAATAAGAACAAAGTTAGTGGTGTGTCCTGGGTGAAACCAGCGGAACCTTCCTTTTTGAAGAGGTTTAAAAATGATGTTGGCTACAAAGAAGGCCCCACTGTTGACACTAAGGTATGTATGTGGTTTGACTAATGGGAATCATGGAAGGTAGCAGTCATGATGGGTTGGTTCATTTGAATGAAAACGTTTTGAACATCACATGGACTGTGGATATGTAATCATCCACTTATTAAAGAATTGAATACAACTAAGAAAGTCCCTTGCTGCACTTTTGGCCACCACGAGGAGGCGGCCATTGAACACATTTGCAATGACCAATACTGTACTTAGTGGCCATGTCTGGAGGTACACTTTTGCAATCGAGTGACCTCAGACAGACAAATGTTACATTCTTTCCATATGCGTAAAGAGTAAGAGTACATACTTTTATTTTATGTCACCCTTGCAGCGTCAGGAAATGCCCACACTGGATGATGACAGTGGGAGTGATCGAGAAGATGAATTACCTCAAGTTGTTGTCCTTAAAGATGGAGACCTGACCTCCGAGGAAGTTAAACTTGTCAAGGAAGGAATAAAACCTGACACAGAGTCAGCGAAAAGTAAGGTTTGTGTGTGTGTGTGTGTGTGTGTGTTTGTTCATTCGTTTTTTTCAAAGACCATTACAGTGGTTTGAAATACGTATGTCACATGTAACAGGTTTTAACTTGTATTTATTGATTTATTGGATACTCAGTAGTTGAGTGCAATCTGTATACTTTCAATGGAACCTAACAGTGGAAAGTCAAGTCATGAACTCAATTGGTTCTGTGGGTCTCTTTGTAACCATAAATTGTGGTAATGTTTCTCATTGAAATTGATGGAAATTTAATTTATCTGTTCCAGTCCCTAAACCAAGTTATATTTTTTGTTGTTGATGTTGTTGTTGATTTTTACCACTGTGTGCAAAGTCGATCACGCACAGCATAACTGTGTATACTGTATTTGCAAAGATCTCGGCCCTTTGGGAATGTTCCCTACATGATGCACATTCTAGAGTTACTCAAAAACTCAGTTGAAAATATTTCACTAAGAAAACAATTACAGCTTTGTACGAGGAGCATAACTGTCACAAAAACATTTGAAAATAAAAGTTGTGCATAACATGTATGCAGATTAAAATGATGTAGTCATCATTCATTTTGACAGTGTGCTGGATAATACAGTACAATACAATACGTCTTTATTGATACTGCGCTTTTAGAACAGTGGCAGTTGTAATAAAGTGCTTTCCGGAACATAAAGAACATAAAACAGACCAAATTCTCTAAAACACACAGATGAAAGATTTCTGTGTACCTGTGAGTCGAACCTTTCCACATTTACCTCCCCCCTAAAATAAGGTGACTTCACAACGAATATTGAATTTTTTATTTTTATTATTTTTTTTAACCATGTTAACTTTCGTGGCTTTATGTATATGGTATTATGCATGCTGTCTGCTTGACTTTTTGCGCATCTTTTGAGGAGCTTATCTAGCAGCTGTTATAAAAAAAAAAGATGGTGATTGGGATGGCATATTTAATTCCACTAAAGCTTCCAAAGTTCGAAGCAGTAAATTGCTCTGATGTCATTTCATAATTGGTTTTGAAAGCTCTGTTTTTAATGAAACACAATGCCCTGTGACTCAACAGGCGACGATCCTCGTGAAGATGGTAAAATCCTCTTCAAGAAACCAGCAAAGCGGTCCTCCGCTGACAAATTTCAAGGAATAACTGCCAGTTCCAGCAAAAAGAAGCGGGATACAGTGGAGAAAGAAGAGAAGGTGGTGAATTCTGGGAAGAAAGTGAAAAACAGCAGCCTTTTGTCATTTGGTGATGATGAGGAGGAAGAGGAAGACTAGTACTGGACTCAGTCTTGATATTTTCCATATGAGGAATTCATGGTCTCTAATAGATTTTTCCATGTGTGTAGACCTAACTAACTCATATGGATGTGTGTGTGGTGTGTGTGTGTGTGTTTAATATAGTTATTAAATGAGGCTGCCTCCTGATTTGTACTCTGTATTGATTGATATAGGCTTGCAGTCAAACCTGAATAAGAACACAGATGAAATACCAGCAATATCTGTATTGAATCGGCAAGTTTAACTCTTTACTCATTTTGATGTCTAATGCTTACCAAGAAAAGAAATGCATCACCTGTATTGACATTACGTTACGTTCTTGGTGCCCTGTTCCAGTTCTCATCCCAAAATAAATTCTCATCACACTCCTTGCTCCATAATCACAAACGGGATGTAGCCATGATGGCGAGGTAGTATCTTCACTGTTGGACAAATTTAGATATCACGTAGAAGTAAGGCTCTTATGCATGTATGTGGATTGCCTGTATTTGTTGTACACGGCAATCTTAGTGTATAGTCTGCATGGTAGAATTTTAATACATTCAATTATGCATTGAATGAATAAAAATGTTCTAGCTTCAAAGGGAAGCTGTAAATGTATCAGTGCATTAGTTTTAATGCAATGGTTTATTTTTTTGTACCATTTGATCTTTATGTATCACCTAAACATTAAATATTTTAATCTCCTTTGTGGTGGTTGTGTTGTTTTTTTAATCGATTTTGTTCAGCAGCTTAGTCCTGCAGTACAATTGCTCTATATGCCTTCTTGTCCCCGAGCTGATCAGTACAACAGGTGAGTCTAGAATACTACTCGTGTCATCTCTTTTCATTATGGCCCTTTTTAATTAGATTTTGCTCACAGTTCTGTTTACAACTACCGAAGATTCAACATGATGGTGTTACTTTGGTAGAACGCCTCAAAATGTGAATGTTGTGAAACTGGATGGATATAGTCAGACTGATAAGATAAGAAAACCTTTATTTGTCCCACAATGGAGAAATTTGCAATCTACAGCAGCAATATTGAAGGGGTGTTTATTGGATGGATGTTTATTAAGTCCCTGTACTGTACTGGCACATGTAGATGATGTAAACACATGCGCAATGGGAGCAGGTCTGAGCGCACTTTTAAGTTTTGGCCCAGCAATATGGGAACACAATGGCAAAGCATATTCAATTTTTCCACTCTGCAAGGTGGTTTCAAATTTTTGCAAGATTCAAGCCCCCAAAATGGCGTCACCGTCTAAACGAAAGGCACTACCGATAGAATATTTTAGAGTTTTTATCCGCAAGTGTCCTTCGATAAACCGGTCCTCAGACCTGACTTTCAGCAACCACATCAAATGCATCACGAAAACACCCTTTTACCAGCTGAAAGAAATATCCAGGCTGAAGGATGGTATGCCCCAAGCAGACCAGGAGAAACATTCATGCTTTTATCTCCAGTAGACTTTATTATTGTGACAGTCTTCTTACTGGACTCCCACAAAAGAGCATCAAACAGCTGAAGCTCGTTTTGACCACAAACAAAGATATAAGATCATATTACTCCAGTCCTAGAGGTTTTAGACTCGCTCGCAATTAGCTGTAGAATATATTTTAAAATTCTGCTACTGGTCAATAAACCACTGAATGGTTTGGGTTCTTAATGAGGAATTATAGTTCAGCCCAGAATTAAACATGGTGAAGCTGCATTTAGCTGTTATGCTGCACACAAATTAAATAAGAAGTGAAGTCAGCCCGGAGTGTAAATGTGTTTTCCCCATACCTTTTATTCAGGTCTTCTAAACATTTGTACATCTTTTTTTTTCTTGTACTTATTTTACAATTCTGCTCTCATTTCTTTACTATACTTGTAAATGTTTTTAGTTTTCTGTTCATGTGTTTAACTGTTGCCAATATGTTTTCTTTCCATAATTTTTCTAAGAGGCGGCCCGGTGGGCCAGTGGTTAGCGCGTCGACCTCACAGTGCGGAGGTACTGGGTTCAATTCCAGCTCCGGCCTCCCTGTGTGGAGTTTGCATGTTCTCCCCGGGCCTGCGTGGGTTTTCTCCGGGTACTCCGGTTTCTTCCCACATTCCAAAAACATGCATGGCAGGCCCTTTGAACACTGTGTGTGAGTGTGAGCGTGGATGGTTGTTCGTCTCTGTGTGCCCTGCGATTGGCTGGCAACCGGTTCAGGGTGTCCCCTGCCTACTGACCGAAGACGGCTGGGATAGGCTCCAGCACCCCCGGCGACCCTCGTGAGGATAAGCGGATCGGAAAATGAATGAATTTTTGTAAGATACTTTTGTTTTCTCTGCTTTGCTTCTGATTGTCGTGAAGTGTTGTTTTTGGAAAGAGCTTTCCATCATCTCCAGCATACTCTGCCATCCAAAAGAGTAGTAATAAAGCAAATTAATTACTGAATTGACATACTGTGACCATCTAAAATTATATGTGCGACTAAATTGCATATTAAGTAGAAAGGATATCCTTGTGCACACTTAATGTGCTCACCCATCTCCACCTTGAGTACATATTGTTTTAAGAATCTCCATTGCTGCTGCCACGTTGAGAGTACAGTCAGCGCTCTTTATTGTAAAACAGCATTATTTCGCCATATTATATAGTTCATTATTTCGCCATATTATATAGTTGATGGTGCTTATTTGTAAATAACCGAATATTATGCATCATGAAGAATTTGGCAGTTTAGTTAATTGGCATGATAACCTACCTCGGTCAAACTGGCCACGTTCTGAACCGCGAGCATCTCTGAAGTTACGTCTTTGCCATGTGTGCATAACATGCTCTTCTATTGTCCTGGTGAAATATGAATTTTATTCATCTTTGGTGTACCTTTTAGCGTTAAAGAAGGCAGCAGCTAAGGATGAAAATGAAATAAATCCAAGTGTGGTTTATGTGCATCATGTTCTCTGTGGAAACATGAAGCTATTCTCATTCATCCAGGTAATTTCATTCTCGGGGCACTGACTCAATCCCAACTGGACTGTTCTGGTTGTTTTAGAAGACGTTTCATCTCTCATCCTAACAAGCTTATACTGTAGCTCATGCACGGGGCTAGTTAGGGTGGCAGTATCAATAGATACGGTTGGTATGGAAACCTAGCTATTTATGCTCCCAGTTAGAGGCACAATGGTACGTCCGTTGTTGAGGTGGCCAACTGGCACTGTGGTCGTAAATTGGTCAGTGCCTGTCCTGGTGGCGAATCCCAAACCTGTTGGTAGACACTGGTGGTGAGGAATGCAGTAAAACTGAAGGAGGAGTCCTATCAGGCCATTTTGGCCTGTGGGACTCAGAGGGGCCGATCATGCTGATGAGCTGATCACTTGAATCCGATGTGTCGGAGTAGGGAGGGATCGAAAACAGGCAGGATATGGCTCTCGAGGAACTGGAGTTCCCTCCCCCTGTTCTACACCATCAGCATGGATGTGAAGGGTGCATGAGAGGTTCACCCAAAAGGTCGAAATATGCTTTGTGGACTTGGAGAATATGTTCGACCAGGTCCTACCACAGGGGAGTTCTGTGGGGGGGTTGTTCAGTCGTATGGGGTACCAGACGCCCCGATCATGTCATTCATTCCCTGTATGACCAGTCCACATTGCCGGTAGAAAGTTGAATTTGTTTCAAGTCAGCTTTGGACTCCGCCAAGGTTACACTTTCTGGACAAAATGATTATGGTTGTTTGCAATAGATCGAGATCCATTTGTTTTGTGTTGGTACGTGGCCTCACAATAAAGGTCGTGGATTGCCATTGTTAAGATATGATTCCTCTCTGTTAGCTGGATTTGAAAGAAACAATGTAGAATGCTGTTGAAGGTATTTCCTGCTTACTGTGATTACAATCACCTTTGGTACCCCCTCACCCCCACCACTTTTATGACCCCTCCAGAGGACATGTCAACATCAAAAGAGGAACTGTTATCTCAAGTATCTGTGTTGCAGCTATTGAGGGACTGCGCTTTGCTATGAGTACTATTGATCTCAGTCTGTTTCCTGGACATCTGTTTGCACACTTAAAACAACGTATGTAGTGTTAAAGTTTATCTTCTTCCTCCTTGGTTGATTAACGGCCCCCCAAGTGTCTTCTGTTGTCCCCCCGCACCTTGGGTCGGTCCCTGATCGCTGTTAAGCCCCCCCTGGGAAGACCTCTTATCTCAGGATGTATGCACAGCGGGGGTTCTGGAACTTGCCATCACACCAAATGGTGGGTAGTGGTGGTTTGGTCTCACCTCACCAGTCCCAATTTCTTCCAGCCACACCTGGTCAGATGCCATGTTACTTTCTTTGTTTCCGGGATTTGCACGAGAGGCGTACCTAACCACCTCTCATTATCATATTGTCTCTATATAATCTCATGAATGTGTTTCTTCTACACTTCCTGTTTCAAATCTGGACCCCTCAGGAGCCCAAATCAATTTGTAAACTGCAGAAATAAATTAAAAGCCTTCGAAGGAACTGTTCATCGCCTCCAGCCTTTATTTGGATTACCAACATTCTCCTCGTCTGAAATTCAACGAACACGCGGGGAAGAGGAGGCCGCTCTATCCCCCAACACCATCCACTGCCTTATTGACGTCAAAGCTGCTCATTGCAGACAACATGTACCTTTTATTTTTACTTTTGTTGAGAATTGAACCTTGTTGTTCTGTTTCTCAATGTAATGTTCCTTAATCAAGAGCTGTTCACTCAATGTACTTTGTACTTCATGCACATTTCTCATTAAGTCTATGATCGTGATGTGGGCGCATGCATGTCGGAACTTTAAAATTGTCAACAGTCAAAATGTTCAAACGGCTTTCACATGGGTTGTATATACTTAAGTGGCCTGACACTCCACCTACAGTTATTTAAAACCTCTGTTTGGAGTCCACCTGTTCTGTCTTCTATCCAGGTAGTCCGTCTTCCCTTGAGTCCAAAAAAAGTCATTTCATCCGAATTGCATTTACTCTAAACTGCCCATAAACCTGGATTATTTATTGTCTGTTTGACCCTGCGATTCAGTGGTGATGACTTAAAAGTGTGTATTCCACTTCTCAAATACAAGGAAATGTGTTACTGTCAGCATGTAACCTTAGCCAACCTTGACTGGTTAAACAATAGCTATATAAACTATGATTATCATCACCATGCAGTTGTTTGTCTCTGTCAACCAGGCGTGTTGCTGTTTTGCTTACCCTTACTTACAGAATAGAAACTATCATCACATCAGGATTCTGAAACTGCCAGTTGTGTCCTCTGGGAGAGTTGACCTCTAATGCATATGCTGTGATGTACATGCACTGATGTATGTGTACATTCCAATTGTAATTTTGTGTGTGTGTGTGTGTGTGTGTGTGTGTGTGTGTGTGCCCATGTTTATCTTTTGAAATTAATAGTCAGATGTTACTTTACGTTAAATTAACAGTTTGTGCGCATCAAATTCATCATGACTGGATGACATTTGCTTCAACAAAAGCTTTCTTCAACGGGCACCACCTTTTCTTTTATTCCTCTCCATAGCGCAACAATAACACACCATTATTCTATATACTTTTCATTCAGCCCTAACGGCATGCTGATTTTCTCTGTACACATCCCTGTCTTTCCCTCGCAATGTCGCGAATATAAATGTCCCCCCTCCACATCTTCTGATACACAGTACATGGCCAGCCACAGGTATAGTAATCATACATCTTCTCCTAT